AGATGAAGGTAATTATGTAACAAGGAGAATTAGGAGAGGCTGTGTTTGCACCTCTGTGTCTTGTCCTCTTGGTGTATGTTACCGTCTCGGCTTCCATGGCTTCTCAGCAATCTCACCCAGTTCACCCTGGGACTTGGTTCCCAAAGTGGATTTCAAGTCCCCAGAAAGGCTTTGAAATGCTGCTCTCTCAGCTTCTTAATCAACTGACATGAGAAGGAGCAAGCAGTGGAATGGGCTCCCCGGGGCCACCCGTGTGTTCCACCTGGGAGGTTTCCTGCTCCTGTTTACCCACAAGTCAAGCTGGCTGCAGTGGAGCTGCAGGCCTCAGCACGTGGAGCACCCTCCACCACTGTTGGGAGGGCGTCGTGGGTGGGGTGAGCGCTGCTCTTCAGAAACCCAGTCTCTTTGTGATCCTTTTTTAAGAGGCTTCCTTCCAGAGGGTTCCTTGGCTTGCAAACCTCATTACCTTGGCTATCTTTTAGAGTGCTGACTTTGTTTGCTTTTTTTTTTTTTAATGTTTTTAAATGTTTTTACTGCCATTTTTCTTCTCTCTCTCTCTCTCCCCTACCCTCTCTCCCTTTGGGGGAGTGTGGGAGGGGGGAACTAACCAGCATCTGTCTAGCTAGACGATAGTTTATATTTGCCAATAATTTTAGAGTAACTTTATTAATACTGAGTCATTTTGATAAAATAATTTTTCTTGAAAAATGTAAGACTGGGTTCTTTTAAAAATCAAATCATTACACGTTTGATAAAATATTGACAAAACGATCATGTAGGAGCTTATGTTGTAGTAAGAGAAGGMGAATTTGAATCAAAGCACCTAATTTTGTGGTAGAAAAATCATTACCAGAATCCCAGAGACCATATTTCAATAATCATGTTTTTGTAAAAATTGAACCATGTGGAATGGTTAATATCAATATTACAAATTATCTACAAAGTATCCAACGGAATTTGCAGGAATTTCCAAGCCAGGGTCATATTGACTGCTGTATTTAAGTTCTATTTCATCATATGATTATCTCAGCAGTATCAGAAGAGAGAGAAGATGGGGCAGGAGGAAGCGGCAATGAGCATATTAGGTCTTTTAAAACCTGTATCGCCCCAGTTTGCCATGAGTTGTGGGCCTCTCCCCCTCCCCCTCCCCCAGTCTCTCTTTGGCAACCAGTGTGCTTAACATCAACAACTGCCCAGTGTTTCGATTCTCTCTTCTCTTGCCTTACTTGACCTTGAACTCACTTAGTTTTTATAACTGTTTATAACTGTTCACTTTCTGATTCCTTAGCAATAATTTGTTATTGCTATTATTGACATCTGATGAGGAGTTGTACCGGTGAATCTTCTAATGTTTAGYTTATTCAACAAGCCTTTTTTGGGGGGTGAGCCCCATCCTATATGAAATCGAGAGAAAGAGAGAGGTGCACATGTGTATGTGTATTTATGTGCTCACACACTGGATTTGCTTTTCATTTCTAGGAATGTTTTCAGCTGTGTTATTAGATGAGGTTGGCCTGTGGGTCTCCTTCCAATGATGCTCTTGGTCCTACCTTGCTTTCGAGGATATCAAGATAATCAGAACCTCAGAGTGACTTGGGACCTTTTATCTTGATACGTTAAATAACTGGTGTCTAGCTAGGATGATATATTCCTTAGGAATTTGGCCAAAGTTACATGTAAAACTGAGCTCATTATCTTTATTTTTATACATACTGTACTTAAAGAATTTTTTATACAGTTTGCTTGGATGTTTTTAATAAAAAAAAATGCATGTACTAAAATGTAAATTTTGAAAGATTTTCTTTTAAATGGGGGAGATATGCATATACTGATAAGCAGAGGGGAAATGTAACATGGAAATGTTAGAAAAATAGGGAATTTAGGAAAGGGATTGAAAGGAGAGAAGAGGTGGGACTGATGTGAAGTTGGAGGCCTGGAGTCCAAGGAGAGCACAGCAAGATGTGATTAACTTCCAGGGACCTTGAGAGGAAAAGGCATCCTGCAGGCACATTGTCAGAGGTGGTTTGGGGCTGAAGCTCTGCCAGGGCTCTCAAGGTGTCCATGACCGAAGGCCATGTGCTCTCTGCAAAGCTGAGATAGGCTGTCCTTCCAGAGGAATATACTAGAAAATAAAAAAAAAAGATGTGCTTTTTAATAGATTATCTATCTTTGTTGAGTATTGACTGTAAAAATACAACGTGTTTATTGGGGAAATGCATTAGAATTTTAAGTATGGAAAATCAAATAATATTGACAGAATGGTATGCTGTTAACTCATTTTTCCCTCTAGACATGATTCCTTTCAAGACTTGAGGCTATTTCTGAATGTTCATGATAGGAACCCAAACCTGAATGCTGTCTCTTCATCCTGGTTCCTATGGGTCACTTTTAAAATTCTTGTAACTAAAAGGACAGATGTGTGCATGGGAAACAAGCTGTTTTCTGATATTTCGTAGTCTTTTATCTTTTTATGAGGCTCATTTTCCCACTTCTTTTAACTTGTATGGTTTTTTTTTATACCCACATGCTCCTTAGCCATGGATTTCCCATTTGAATGATGAAGCTCTTGACCTTGAACATTTTTATGGACTCTTCTAGGTTTTCGTGATGTTCAATAATGGCTCTGGGACCAACTTGTTCCCATGGGAAATTTTTTTGTAATACTCTCATAATTATACTTGCATCCAGTTTCTCTCTAGTACCAGCCTTATCTCGTGACATCTGTGTCTCAGTCATTCCTGTCTTCTTTATGTAATCTTCAAAGCATTTTTGTTTTCTTTAACTTATTCTCCTTGAGTTGACCTATAATCAGTGATCTGGCTAATCAGACCTTCCCAGAATATCTTCCTTTTCCATTTTCTTAGCCACTGCCTAAATTGTATGGTTTTTCATTTTTTAATCTAATATTCTTGTCTTCATTTACTACTTTTCCCAAACCACCCTRCTTATCAGTGACCCCATTCATATTCCTAGGATTTATAATTTAATGGGCTAAGTGCTTACTTGAAAAATTYCAGTGCTTTGCTATTATCACATATGAGATCAAGTCCAAACTTTTAAACCTGTAAATGTATTTTTCTGTAGTTTATATTTAAATTTTCTTTTCAGTCCCCTTTCCTAGCAGTTTCATGAGCTACTATTTTCTTTTCTCTGCACCCTTTCTCTCCTCTTTCATTTCCTTTTTAATTCTTCCACTCTTTAATTCACATACTCATTCCTACTCTTGTGTTGGACCCATTTGTTGGACCCATTTATGATTCCCCCTCCTATCCGAGGTTCTGTTCTTAGTGCTGCAGGCATCACAGTGAACCACACAGACCTGCGAGCCTCAGGCTCCCTCTTTCTCAGGGATGGAGCAATTGGTGGAGCAGTTCCAGGTAGGGCCAGAGAAGGCACCAAGGCCACCCTGCTGCTCTTCCCATTGTCCTGTTAGGRCATTTATCCTAAGTCTCTCATCAAATCTCTCCTTTTACCTAAGCTTTYAAGCATCTCACCTTTCTATATTTTGAATAATTCCTGTACGTTTCATATAGTTTCCTTGGGTGTTTTTAATAAAAAATGCATGTACTAAAATATAAGTACATTGCATTTACATAAACATGGTTGAGGAAGATCTCAGTTCTTTTTCTCTAAYTGAATTATAAGCTCTTGGAAGGATTATTTATTGATAACTTTGTGTGGCTCCAGTGCCTTGTAATACTTCACTCTAAGTGTTTTGATTTCATTGAGTTGCCTATAAAAATGAAGAAATTTATATAAAATACTAAAAAATATCAAGATGTCATACATRTTAAAATTCCAAATGCCATTCGCAGGTCTCTTTTTTTCTCTCTAGCACAGCCCTGGTTTTCTGTCATCAGAAAAGAACTTCCAGTGTATACCATTTTTCCCCCCAATAACTAATAGTAGAGACAAAAGACACATTTATTATACTGAGCCTTTCCTCAAAAATAATCCATCTCATTCTTATCCACAAAGACATTTCTATAGGATACTCTAGGACATGGGCATATTTCCATATCAGATTTGTTTTTAGTTTCAGTGTTTGTTGAAGGAGATTAATCACTTCCCTCAAGCAAATAACTTTATTGATTTGACAGCTGTCACATGCCTGTTTAATCAGGGTGATATCGTCAAAGTACTAYATAAGAGAAGACAAAGAAAATAAGACCATCGGGTAGCATGGTTGGTTGCCAGGATAAGGAGAAGGCATCCCAAACTGACCAGCAACTCACTGCATATTTTTTTCAGTGCCAAAAATGAGTTCCTGAAAGTTGCAGAAATGACACATGAAGCAGCATTCTATTCCTCTTAAAGTCATTTTATAATAATCAGACTCTGGGCTGGATGCTTTCTAATAGGAGTTAACAGGGCTTGTAGAAAACCTGTCTCTGTGGAGTGGCTATTTCCTGATTTCCCTTAGAAAAAAATGCAAATGAGGTCTAGAAGTAACTGTGGATTTCTCATGTAGAAAGGACTGAATGTGTTTAACAAGTCTAATCGTGGGGCCAAAATAGAAACCCCAGGGACAGGGAAATGGAAGGCCTAATTTGAAAGAAGGCAAATGGTGCCCCTGTGCTCTGTCCTGGCTCTGAAGGAGTGCTTTTGTGATTTTGCAAAGTCCTCAGCCCTTCCCAGTGAAGTGGCACAGGAAATGGTCTCGTTTGCAGTCTGCATCCCTCTGCTGAGTCCTGTGGACTCTGGGTTATTTTCTACCAGGCCCAGAAAACRCACATCTGGCCTGTAAATCACTGCCATGCCTGGATGCCTGGCTTTTCTGTTTCCCGGGTGTTCCCCCTCTGTGTTTTACACATTCCCAGTGTGGGTCACGTGACATCCCGGGGGGAACCTCCAGTGGCCCCTAAATGATCACATCACATGAGACTCCCCAGTCCTCCCTGGAATGTAATGCTTGCTTCTGCTGTGCCCTCTCTGTGGTCCCCAGAGGAAGAATCATTCATTTTTATCTTTTTTATTTATTTATTTTTTTTCCTATTTAGAAATTGGCCCCTGGTTACGGGAGTTCAGAGCGAAGAATGCTGTGGATTTCTCGCAGTTAACATTTGACCCAGGACAGAAAGAACTTGTTGTAGGAGCAAGGTGAGAGATGTTATGTTTTGCCACCAAAGATAATCTATGGATTTCACTTTACATCTGTGTGAGTTATATGTGAGTCTCTTTGCTGAAACTGAAGAGCGCTGTTTAAAGTGATTCCATCTCACAACGCTGCGCAGGGTGAGTGTCATGAAGTGCCCTGCTAGTGTGAGCAGGGGTGTGCTCCTCATAGCATGTGTTGATGGGACCCTCCCTGTGTGTCTCAGACCTGGTTTCCCCAGATTAACTCCTCTGTTCCTCCCACCTAACCTGAGAGGTGGGTGGTGTCAACCTCCCTACTGTACAGATGAGGAAACTGAGGCAGACAGCAGAGAAAGATGTTGTAATTTTGCATGTGCCTGATAAAAGATGGAGCCCCGTTTTACACCCAGACAGTTTGGCTACAGAAACCATGTTCTTAATTCATCACTACATTCTTCTGCAGAATTTCAGAGGTCAAAATGCCTATGAGCATGCCACGAGGTCCCTCATGACCTTTCTTGATGACCTTGATCAGACCTTTATCAGTACATTAAGAATTCAAGGAAATTGTCATTGTCATTGCCCCTTGAAGAAGCTTGTGCTCCTGTATCCAGGTCAACACCTGCATACAGCTGGAGGGTCAGCCACTGACACATCAACAGATTTTGAGCTCTTTCCCTCCTATTTGCTATCACCTCCTTAGAAGATCTGCATGGACCCCACATCCAGTTATCTATGTCAGTATAATTTGAGGATGATATACCTGAAACATGTTACATATATCTCTTAGGAAAATGAACATTAAACTTGAGGAGGCAATGTGCAGATTTACATTCTACTGACATCTAAGGAAGTCTSTACGGCACTGGAATGGTCGTATCTTTTCAGCCAAGTTTTTAGATTATATAGTATACGTTTTATAGCTACAGAGGTCGAACAGCTCCCACACTGACCTGAGTAAAACTAAATCCAGCGTACCCTTGGGGTATTTGTGATAAATGCTGAGAAATTTCTGAATCGTTGCGTTTGCTCTCAGATCTTATAGTCCAACTTTCACTAAATAGACACAAGTTGGCTTACTTCATGCACTGGACAGTGGTCATCTCTTTGGATGGTTGTGGGGAGACCATGAACCTGGACAGGGTTGCTTGGATTACTCTTCCTTACTTCTGTTCCTTGGAAACACTAGGATTTTCAAAGCTGACTTCACCAAACCAGAGTCTGGGCTCTGTATTGCAAGGCTTATAAATGGGTCTCCCAGTTTCGAGAAGCTCTCCTCTTTCTGCATGCTCCAACATAGCATGTTTTCTAAATGCCTGCCGGCAGAACCTCTGTGGGTAGTCCATCCTGTGGTCCCATGTCCCTTAAAGTCTCATCTCGTCATTCTCATGTAGTCCAGGCATGTGGAATGATTTAGGTTTCCCATGGCTATAGAACATGGTCTTTCTTGAGTCTGAAATTTGGTGACCTTGTTTTATTTTTTTGGAATACTAGGTGCCCACCCCAAATTTTCTGCTTTGGAAATTCCTCCTCATAGTGAGGACCCGGCTCAAGACCCTGCACTGATCCTGAGCTGCCACATCCTGCACAGGATGGCCCTGTTGACACACCAGGCATCCACTTTGTCACTGTACTTCTTTCAGGGCATCACATCATATCCTGACAGCTGTCACCTCCTACCTGGACAGAAAGGGATGTGCCAATTCTTTGTTTCTTCCTCCTTGTGGAAACGCAAAGATCTCTGTTGGCTCAACATATTTATTTCTAGGATTTGACTTGTATATGCTCTTTTCTCATCTAGGAAACACAGGAGCAAGAGGGTTGAGAGTGTGGTCTATTTATTCCAAATGCCTACATTGGGGTATGGTCATGAGAGAGTTTCAGGCTCTGTACCCCAAAGCCTGCCTTTAAGGAAAATAAGCTCTGGCCCCAAGTCAAGGGTAAGAGGCCCTCTACTCAGGAAGCAGGAACAAATGTGAGCCCAACAAGCAGTGCTGAGTCTTGCATCCCTCATTCATTTGTAAAGAACTTTGGAAAGGCTTTTTCATTAGTGTGACTCAAAACACTGTCCATGGTCTCTGGAGGTCCCCTTGTGAACAGATCAGCACTCCATACTCTGCCAGTGGTTGGCTTTTAATCAGTGACACAAGATTCTCTCAAGGGATGCAGGAAGCCACTGAGTAAATTGGGGCTTGTGAAGGACTGTCTTATGTGCCTGCCTTGGCTACAACAGCAACTGGGAATTGTTCCCAAGGGAGACTTGTCCCTGGAGGTCTCCATCCAAGTACCTCTGGGGACTGCCATCTCATGTCACCATGGTGCCAGCTCATCCATGTTGGGAGGAATTGTACCAGCCCCTGAGTCACCCTAGCATGCAGTATGGTGTAGTGGCCAGGAACACGAGGGGTTGCCAGAAACCACCCCAGAATGCAGGATGCCCAGTTGAACTGAACTTCAGGTGAGGAATAAGCGATTTTAATCCTACAAATACCCCCACGTGTCTGGCAAATAGTGTGTGTTGCCTTGTGACTACTTGGCAGATGACAGAAAGAAAGGAGGGACCCTGCTTGCCTCACAGAGCCGTCCTGAGCCAGATTCAGAGCCCAATTTTCCCATCTTTAAACTTGATATGATAATTTCCACCCCTTTCAGCTGTCGTGAGGATTAAGTGAAATAATCCGTGACAAATGATCACTACGTCAGCAGGCCCCGGGAAGGCAGCCGGACCTGGAGAGCCCCGGGGAGCTTGTGTGCATTAGTGTGCACACACGGTTACATTTCAGGCAGAGACGGCTGAAGGCAGAGAATAGAAATGTCACCGAGGAAATTTGGTGGGATTAGGTTCAGAAAGTTTGAGAGGGAGTATGAACCAGTTATAAAACTTTAAAAATAACCCAGCCCTCAGATTCCTGTTTGGGAAGGTTTGACCTAGCAAAAGAAGTTTAGATAACAGGTGTGTATTTCAGAAATCAGCAATGGCTTAAAAATATGAACTGCAGAAAAGTAGAATGATCCTTTTTTTTTTTTCCCCATAGTTACCACCAGGTATTGAGAAGATGTTTATTGGATGGTTTCACTTTATACCACTGATACTTTATGTCCCTGAAATTGAATTCAGCCAAAGATTCTTTGCAGTCTTTTATAAAGGGAGTTCATTGTGCTGCAAAAGAAAAACTTCTCTTTAAGAGATCTGTGGTTATGTAGCACCAGAAGTTACTTGAATTGGAATTCATGCAGTTTCTGGAAGGACTCATAAATTTGCCATTTCCAGGATGCATGCTCACTTTCATATCAGGGTAAATGCATTGACCTTCATATTCTGTTTCAATCCAGCCTCTTTGAAGTTAATATTCTGTGTATTTTCAATGATTAAACATAGGCATCTTTCTTTTAGAAAATGTGGACAATACAATACAGCATAAGGAAAAGAGTTTCAGAAATAATCATAGTTAAATATAGTTGGTGTGTCCAGTTTTTTTTTTCCCCTATTATTTGATTTCTATGTGTTTCTATTCCTGGGATAATATTCCTGTCTACTTTTTCATCACAAACCTCCTGAAATCAGTTTCCATGGTATAATGAAAAAAAAAAATCAAAGAGAAAGACTGTGTTATAGCTTAGAATTTTAGTATAGATAATTATGAAAGTACTGACAGTACTAACGCTCCACCAATTGGATAAGAGTCTACATTTTGCTGTGGATAGAATTGTAGCAACAGATGTCAGAGAGGGTGATAACATTTTTATTCCCAAGTGAGTTGGTCTGTAGCATTTCAGGTTCATCCTAAGGGTGACAAGTGATTCCATTCCAAGTCACTCTGATATGCACCACAAACAGCCACGCAGTGTGATGGAAAACAGCCACCGCAYGGATCTTTGCCTCTGAAGGTGCTGACGCCCACTTGTGCTCAGGTACTTTTCTTCAAGGTGTGGCTTGAAAAAACACTTCTTAATATCAGTCTCCATTTTGAAAATGACCGTTTTTTTTTTTTCGGCCGTATTGGTTTCTTGCACCATTAGTTATTTTCTGCGGGTAACTTTGTTTCTGATGCTCTTACTCTTTTCCGACCAGCTTCAGTGTAAGGCCCTGTTGCAACATGTGGTGTTTTAGTAGAGGGTCCTCCTGTTAGCTCTCACAGCCTGAGGAGTCCACATAGCCCAACCATCTGCCACGAGGAAGGTGGTGGGACTGAGACCCGCAGACTCAGCGCTTGGGTCGGTCTGGTAGTGACCGTAACTAATGAGATATATAAGGACTTTATCCTTGGGACTGTTTGATTTTAAATCTATCAAAGCCATATCATGAAATGGTAATATTATAAAGATACCAAGAGCAAACTTACAGGAATGCATGAGTCCCCCTGACACCTGAGCAGGTGGAGGACCAGCTATATCCCCAGCTTCACAGAATCCCTGAATTCACTGTCCCAGTCAAGAGGCCACTTCTAGATACCAGAAAAGAAGATATTTCTATTATATACCTGTACAACGTATAGTATGGATTCCTGGTCAGCGTGTTTATTGCAATGAAAGAAAAAGAAAGAATTAAAACCTGAGGGCTTCCAAGCCAGAGCTTGATCCTTCCAATCACAGCAAACTGGTTGCGACATTTTGGTATACATTCTAATCATTTGTTTTGCTCTTGTTTTGACTCTGCAAAACTAAGGATAAAAAAGGAAAGATTAACATGCTTTTGCCATGCGGGCGCTGAATTGGCTTTACGTGTTCAGAACTGCTGAAAGATAAACTCAAGCACATTAAAATTTTAACGAGTTTATTTGAGCTTTCCATGATTCATGAGTCAGGCATTGACCACAAGACCACAAGCAGGTCAGCTCTTCCAGGGCTGGAGGGGTTGGGGGAGGATGGAATCCTTCTTCTGGGAAGCAGGATGAAGCAGATGCATTCTGTTAGTTAAAGTAGAAGGCTCCTAGTCCAGAGGTTAGCTAGAGGTAGTTGGTGGTCCCTGATGGGTTGAGTTACAGCTTCCCTTCACAGTCTCACTGAGTGTGGTGTCAACCTGC